AATATAAAATATAAATGTGGACAGTGAGATCAACACCAAGAGTCGATAGCCTGTTTCACGCTTCAACGCAATATTCTGGTCATGTGTAAATAAATCTACTAGAACAGCTAGGCAATCCCCATTGTAGACGCTCGCTCAGGTACATTATGAGTTTCCTCAACATCCACAGACAGAGCCAACTGGCTTTGCCTATTCTGGATTGGATCTCTTTGTCCAAATTTACACACACAAGGCACACGCGCGTGCACACAGACACACATATTTGTCATGCCATGTCCATTAAAAGTGATATATATATATATTGAAACAGTGGATTATTATACGATATTATGTCTGACTAGTCTTATTTATATATATATATATATATATATATATATATATATACATATTACTGGTAATAGATCCGTTGATATATAATCTAAGTAGATCTTAGTAATAACAAATATTAAAACTGATCCACAGAGAGTTCAATGTATTTATTATGACATAGCTTATATATTTAATAGGTTTTAGACGGCTGGGTTTAGACCAGCTTGAAATAGACTATGGCCATGTTGAATTAATTTTGGTTTCACTGTAAAATATATATATATATATATATATATATATATATATATATATATATATATATATATATATATATATATATATATATATATATATATATATATATATATATATATATATATATATATAAAGAAAGAACAGGAAGATATATCATCCGGTGTTCTTATTGATATTTTTTTTTTTTTAAAAAATAGTGCTTATATATATATATATATATATATATATATATATATATATAGAGAGAGAGAGAGAGAAAGAGAGAGGGAGTGGGAGAGAGAAAGATACATTGACAAAGAGAGAGATAGTCAGACATAATGATAAAATGCACACATATATACATTTTATAATTATGTATCTTTCTCACACTTGCTTTTTCATTTGCTTTTTACCCTCTTGTCTTTTTTCTCTCTCTCTCTCTCTCTTTCTCTCTCACACACATACACACACACACATTCTCACTCTCTCTTTCTTTTCCAAACTCTTTATTCTCAGTCTGTCATTTTTCGCATTGTTCTGCCTTCTCTCTTACGCTTTCATTTTTCATTCTTTCATGTCTCTTTCTATTTAACGTCCACCAGCCAAAAAAAAAAAAAAAAAATCCTAACTCACTCCACATTTCTTTCTGCTCTACACACTTCTATCTTTCTGTAACGTTCACCAGAATTTTTTTCGTTTCGTTCTTCTCCGCCTTTTTTTCTCTTTCCTTACTTCTCCAATTTGTCTTTTCCTTTTTTCTAATTTTTAAATCATTTTTTTAATCTCTTTCTTAAAATCTTCGAGTGTTTTGTTTTTATTCCTTCTTTCTGTAGAGATAACTTACATTAATTTTTCAAGTGTTTCATCAGACTGACCATTTCAGGACGATAGCTCTTCGCCAGGCCATTGGCTTTTTTTTTTCTTCTTCTGTTTTTTTTTTTCTTTTCTTTTCACCGCGATAATAACTACTAACGCTTTTCTTTTATTGATTTTCCAAGAGGACTGTGATGTTTTTGTTCACGAGATTAACGTGTACAGACGCACTCGACTATTTGCGCACACAAAACCTCATCAACTGAAACCATAATACAACAAATTAAAAGTTTGGTTTACTTTAGGCTTCTTTGCAAATGTTCTTAAGAAGAAATTTTTCTTTTCATCTGGAAGAATATTAGATTGAGACTTCTTGAAACATACTGACCAGAGATTTCTGTAAAAAAAAAAAAAATTATACCGATACGGCGAAATGAAGAGGGGAAGATTATGGAAATTGTATTTCACCGTTGCTTCGGGATCTAAAACCCTTCGCTGGTTTACTATATATTTTTTTTTATTTTGGAATCAATTATCGTGTGTGACTTGACATAGATTAGTAATGATAACATGTGTAAGGCAAGGTTTTAAAAAAAATCGTTGCCTTATTGCAAGACCAAAGCAAATATGTAAATTCTAGTCAATATGTGAAAAAGTTGGACGAGTTTATTGACTTATTGATTGTTCAAGTCGAAATCCGAGCACGCATTGAAATAGCGAAAGATGCCTTCCAAAAGCAAAGTAATGTATAAAGAAACAGGAAAATCTACTTACAAATAAAAGTGTGCTCAAATTTTCTGTAATACCAGTCCTCTTCTATGTTAGTGAATGCAGGACAATTTTATCACAAATGGAGAAACTTGAGGTAAAACAAATTGATCGATTCGTTTTCTACGGCTTATCAACCCATTGCGGGTTATTTCAAGCCAGAATTTCTTTTTTATCCTAAGTATTTTTTTGGTGTGGTGGGAGATAATAAGGATATAGTAATACAAGTCCTGTTAATTAACCCATAGCTGGGGAGGGAAGACCTTTCCCAAGGGTAAGCGTGCAAAATTGAACATCACGAAATCAACGGGAATTAGGACTCTCTAATGAACAATTCCTTGCCATTATCCATTACAACACCAACACATCGAAACATATAGCACCCATTATTCACAAGCGTTCACCCATCTAAGTACTGACCAGGTTCGACGTTGCTTAACTTCTGTGATCGTGCGGGAACTGGTGTTTCAAAAGTGTTATTCTACATAAGGCCGCAAACAAATGTCATGCACTGAACATGTGAATAAAAGAAAGCTTATATTTTGAATGAAGAGGAGAGAGTTGCCATTTTGAGGACAGATTATGAGGAAATAGTGCTCGGAGAATGTAACACCCACAAGATATATTGAAGGCAAGAGGAGCAGAGGGGAAAATGGCATAAGCTACTTAAACATTTTGTGTAAAGAGATAATAAAACAGTGACTCGGAATGTGTGCGAAAATAAAAAGCAATAGGAAGTTGTGGTGGGCCATGATTTTCCACAGTAAGAACGAAGACGGCACACAGAAGAAGAATATTCCGTTTTAGGCAAAAGAAGGATGCAGACAGAGGAAAAATAGACTGACAATATATATATATATATATATATATATATATATGTATATATGAAATAATCATAATCGAAGTTCTAAGCTCTGAACCATGAACTGTAGATCTACATTGATCAATAGAAATTTTTATTGAGAAATTAGTTTTTATTTAATTTTTCGATAAACATAGACATTTCTATCTTTGGATAGCGGTGGATTATGACTCTCCAAAAAATTCTTATCTGAGTAGACAGGAAGATGCATCAAATAAACTCATATTTAGCACACCACCAATAGATATAAAGGGAGCTAGTCAGTTGTTCTACTGCGCAACGATCCTACGACCACACGTGGTCATGGGATCGATAAGGATGATGGCAATGATGATGATGATGAAGGTGCGTGGTTACGTAATGATTATAGAAACCAATTGGGGGTACTGGTTTCGAATTTCAGTCAAGGCTGCTCAGTGTTCACTTGACACTAACGCCCCTATGAAAGAAAGGATTATTGTCTTCTGTCTCATAGTCATATAAACTGTTTCTTATTATTTACGTTCAGACTAATGTGCTCATCACAATGTTTCGGCCGTTGTGTCGTCTCGCCTTCAGGTTCAAAGAATTTCGAACTGAACACTTTATTTAATCTAAGCGGATAGGTTGTTCTCATCCCGTTGTCCGCGTTTAGGTATATTGTGTCTTTTTCTTTTTACTGCTGTTTAGTTATTGCTCACCCTGTTTCCAATGAGTCTGACTCTATACTACTCGGCCCAGGGATTGAACTCACGATTACTATACCAACAAATTTATGAACAAACGCTTTTATCCGCTATGCTATTATTCCACCTTAGTGAACGCCACAGCATAATTACGGGTTCAATCAAATTGAACCCGCAATACCGCAATATTGCTTACCGGCAGGTAAGCAATAACTGTGTAATAATAATATAGAACAAAACGGGTTATCCCTAGACATGGACGTCCGAACGAAAACAAACTAACGCAGTAGATTAAATAGGGTTTTTAATTCCAAATTCACTGAAGATTACTCGGGGCGAGACAGCTGAAGAAAGCCGAAAAACATAACAACCGAAATTCTGTGATGATAACAATAAATATGAGGATATTAACCCGAATGTAAATAATAAAAATAATGATAACTCCTTGTTGTGAGGTAGAATATTTCTCTACAAGTTTAGACTCGGCCGTCGGGCAAAAGACATAAAAATATGCCTACATCAAGAGGAGTAGCAGGAGAAGCAGCAGTAGCCTTTGCCGAAAACAATCATTCACGGCTAAACATTCTCTTCCTTGGTTTCTATTCTATATTATATTTCCTTGTAGCTAAAGGTAATAAATTTGTTGTTAAACCAATTCTTGTTTTCTTTTATTGTTTTTGATAATTTAATTGCAACACTCCTCATTCTAGAAAATCAGGAAGAAAAAAAAAGGTTTCTCTTCAGTAGCATACCATGATGTTTGCTGGAGAAAAATGTGGAAGAGACAGTCTTTCGGCAGTCGACTTTCCCGTAACTAATTATATCACAGAAAAGTAGTAACAGTAAAAACAGAGCTGATACATTCATTTTCAACGCCGTCAAAGACTAGACAGTTACTTTTAATTAATGCTTTCCTATCCGCCATATTAGATCTTCATATGCAGCAGATGCTGAAATTAGGTCCGATCATAAATAACGTCTTCGTCAAGTGACAGAATTTTTTCTTTAAATTTATTCTTTTATTTTTTCCTTGAATTTATTTCTTTTAATCTTTGAGATTTTCATTTACTTTCAATTACTTTCTTTTAAATTTTGATTTATTTTTTTCCTTTTGATTTCTTTTCGTTTAATATTTCTTTTATCTGATGTTTTATTTTTTATTTTAAATTTTGTCTTCCCATTTTTTAATTAAACGTTGGCAAGTGGCCAAAGAAAAATATACAATATGGCAGATTCTATTATACAAGTCAGTTTATACAATAAAACTGCTATCAATCCAGCGATGTTATTGAGATGTTCAACATATATTTATATAAACAATATATCGTGGGTTTCAGATAATAATGATTCTATTTCTACGCGCCGTAGGCGATAATGGCTCTCCACAACTTCCTGTCCTTTTTAACTCTTAGCAAAGTTTTAGCAAACGTTGTCTTGTAGCAATCCCTCTTGTCACTGTCCTGTCAATCATTTGATGTTTGTTTTATTTGTTTAACGGCATATCAACACCTTATGGGTCATTTAATGCCGAAATTTAATTTTTGGGAAGTATTAGTAATTTATTTTACAAAAATGTAGTGCTGGCAATTTTTCTTTTACAAAAATGGTAATTTTTTTGACTATGAAATTTTATTTCTGGCACCTTCACTATAAAAATGTATTTCTACGCTTTTCATCGTGTTTTTGACACCAGTTTAAGGGTTAATTATTTGCCCATAGCTGGAACCCTAACAAGCGCTACCACCCAACAGCAATTAAGAGGTGGTTCCATACTCCTCAAAACTTTTCGATCAGAAGCCTTGCTCCGGGATGTAGTTTATTGACCAACCATTTGAACAAACTCGTTAGGGAGGTTATATGATGCTTTTCTCTCTATATATTTCCTACACTCTGTCCTATGGGTATCACATTTTCCGAGCCCTCTTTCCTATAAATTTCAACTCTGTCTTCCTGATGTTAAGTATGAATGTCCTTTTTGTATTCATTTTCTTTAAAACTTCCTCATTACTCACATGTTCAATCCATGGTATTCTCAGCATCTTTCTGTAGAACAGCATCGTTCCTAGTCTCTTCTTCATCTATGAGGAGATCGTCCAGCATCCCTAAGAGAGTTGATATTACATGACATTTCAGCACCCCAAAAAATCTTTATAAAATTGCCGTTTCATAGTTCGATTTCTTTTGCGAAATGACTACTCACCACAAACATACGACAATTTGACACAAACATTCGGCGATTGCGACCCCATAAGGATGTCAAATACAATCATATGTACCTAACAATACTTACAAATGTAAAATAAAATAAGAATTATCATAAAACTAAATTAGAATAATATTATTCTATGCTGAAAACCGTTTGGGGGAAAAACTCCATATAGATCCAGTAGATTGCACATTTTATCGAATATAAACAGGTTAATGAGTCTGCGCAGTAGGCACAATATAGATATTTCCGTTTCCTTTTAAAATCATGATGATCGGAAATTTTGATAAATATCTTCAATTACAGCTTGAATAAGAGTAAAAAACGCTGGCTGTAATGAAATTGGAGAGGCACAATTTAGAGGGTTTGAGCAAGGGGTGCGGATTATGCATGAATAGGAGCATTTTCCCACACTTTCAGCACAATTTTAAGGGTGCGTATTATGGATGAAGGCGTATTATACATGTGGAATCACAGTAAAATGAATGCTTGTTAATATGTGATCCTTGTCATGCTATAATCATTTTTTATCCATCGATTTCGTTCATTTTTCGACTGCTTCGACTTTACCAATACGAGAAATAGGTTTTATTGCATTACAGATATTTTCTTTGCTGCAATATTATTTTCCATCCTCAGAGTCATCTTGTTTAATGATTGATCACAAGTTTTCTATGAAAAGTTTGGAGAAGGTTGGAATTAATATCGTCTCTTGGAAGCCTTTTCCTGAGATTACACATCTTAAGAAAAGAGTTCCAAGACACGAAATTAATTAAATGTGTTGTACAGTAGCTATCACACCTTCAACACTTTATCAGATGGCCTGGCTCATAGCCTTAAATAATCTACGATTAAGGACTTCAACAGTTGATTAATAAGTTGATACTAAGCTGATTAATATTCAGACTGATCTTACTTCGTTTGGCTATACCCCATTTGACCCTCCTCTATTCCTTGTAAGTTGTCTTGTTAATTGTTTTGTAACTTATTGTTCTCTCTTTTTTTTATGTATCCGTTAGCACCGGATACTGGTGTTGAATAAATATATTAAGCACTCATTCTTCTCTTTGTATCATTCACTTCGACGATATAACAAAATAATTCCCAGCTTCTCCAAAATAGTCAATTATGCATAATGTTAACATCGACTTGAATGAAAATCAACTTTAACTTAATGACGACTGGTTATGCGTTGTACCTCTAAAAAATGTCTCCAAGAATTTACAATAATTCTTTGTAATCATTTCGACACCATTAAAACCTATATGTTACTGGAACAAAGCATTATTTTACCTTCCACATTGTTTTTCTCCGATGGTTCGCTGAATATTTCTATGAAAGATTTAAAATCTAGCCAAGCCAGAAGCTTGAAACTCTAAGCTTGCCGATATATCTCCATATTCATCACTAAAAATGACTTTTCATTTACTTTTTCGACAAACATAGACATTTCTATTTTTGGCGTTTACTTAAAAATGGTTGCTTTATGACAATGTTCTTAATATTCTGCATCTTTTCACTTTTTTTTTTTTTTTTACATTCGCAATGTCAGAATCTCCAGATCTTTTATTGCGGGTCAATCTGTTTAATACCCTTTTTTTAATTTTCTCGAATCTATTTTTGTGACATTCTTAGAGTCAGTTATTTTTCTTCTGATTTTATCAATGTTTTCCGTTTCTTTTCTTTTTTTAATATACAATTGTGCTCTCTCTTCAACTTTGGCGTTATTACTAAAGTCAATATGTT